CCAAGAAAGACGAGCTAGCAGAACCTCTTATTCCAGAGACTCAGATAAGCAGGATCTTCCGGATACAGAGAAAATGGTTACCATTTCCTCTAATCAAAACCAGCTGAGTACTGAGCGCCATGTATCTGTGGCATGGAGGGATAGAAACTTAAGCACTCATGGTGAGGCTTTTGCTTCTTCTGTACAGATGGAGTGCGTTCATAGCTTGGTTACTCAAACAAATTGCTTTATATCAGGTGCTCAACCTTTATTGGCTACCATAAACAAACAGCCGGTGCGACATAGTTTAGAACCATTTCCCTGTACTTTAACAAGGGACTCGGAACAACAATCCTATCTTCTCCAGCAACAGCACAATTTTCCAGAGACCACCTTTCTTGGAGTTTCATCATTGTCGCCTAGTGAGGCTAGTGGTGTGAATAATTGTAGTGGAAACAATGAAAGTGGAGAAGGTCAACTGTCTCAGCAACCTTTGAAGATAGACATTAAACAAGTAGCCGTTAGCAAGCCATTAGATCAAAAAAATACTTTGGCGTTGATGGAGAAGAGCGAGGCTGATTACCATGAATTTGTTTCTAGGGCAAACGAAAAGCAGAATATTCGTGACAAAGCTCTTGGGTCAGGGCTCGATCTAATGTTCATGAACGATATGGTGGAGGAAGAGAATGCTACAAATGATTTCGGTTTACTATTTCAGCTATGTTATGCTAAGCGCCTCAAAATCACTGATATCCGAGTAAGCTTGATGTTTTATTAAATAAGTCTTTACTTCTTATTATAACTTTTACACGCGTTGTTATAATTTCTTAAAAGGTCGATTGAATAGAGTACTCATTTTAGGCCTCCATATCTTTAATATATTCGATTTTATTTTTTGTTAACTTATCTACACAAATCAGCGACTTTGTGTGCTCATTTATGTGATTAATGTCTCAGCAGAAACACGAAATAGTACTGTTTGCAAACCCAGTGAAAACAGTTTACAGGTAAATTTGAATATATTTCGTATGCGATCAGTGAATGAAAGAAATTATGAAAAATACAACATTGAGAAATTCGGGAACAAGAAAGCATTATCTAATACGATTAGCTGGTAGAAGGACTGGAAGTTGAAATGCTAATATGCAAATAAAAATCGATGTAAACTAATGATTGGATAAATAATTTTGATATAATTCTTATACTATTATTGAAAATATGAAGACCAAGATGAGGCGGCCTTTTGTGTGGTCGCAGTCTCCTTAGGTTGTTTGACCTTGCTTTTGTAGCATGGTCATATTGGTAGGAAGACTTAGAGGAACACACCTAGTCCGTAGTCCATTGTCTGCATGATCCTTTCCAAAGTTGAACCGTGGACGTGGTACATTCATAAATGTTTAGCCGGCATCGCAGTCGGCATCGTCAATGAGTATCGCCATTCTTAGCACCACACAACAACTCGTCAAAGAGATAAGTGAAGCCGATCCTTTGACCAGACCTGTGCTGAAGAATTGTGGTATCTCCCCTTCTGCCCTGGGTTATTCGCATTTCCGGTTTCATTCTATCATGCCTTTACTATTACATTTTTTACCGTGTTTATTTAGATTGTGTGGTGTGCCCCTTTGAGCGACATGAAGCCTTCACACTCCAACTG